TAGCTTCCCCCCAAAAATGTTAAATATATGGAGATGAAGTGTTCTGTACTGCATGGAGAGCCAGTGTGGTGTGGTGGTTAAGAGAGTGGGACTGGGACTCAGATGATCTGGGTTCTTCATCGTGGCCTCTGTGCATCACACATATAGGCACTGTGCAGGCGCAGCACCCCATATGTGTGACTGCACAGATGGCCACTCGAAGAACATCAGTTACAGGTAAGCAACCTGCTTTTCTTCGTCGTGGCCTCTGTGCATCACACATATGGGGTGCTGCGCCTGCGCAGTGCCTATATGTGTGACTGCACAGATGGCCACTCGAAGAACATCAGTTACAGGTAAGCAACCTGCTTTTCTAGTCCCCACTCAGCCATGGAGCCAACTGGGTGACTTTGGGCCAGTCACAGACTCTCAGCCCAACCTATCTCATAGGGTTGTTGCTGTGGGAATAAGATGGAGGAGGAGAAGGATGTAAGCTGCCTTGAGCCCTTTGTAGGAAAAAGGCAGGATATAAATTGAAAAATAAATAAATAAATAAATAAATAAAATGGGGTCCACAGCAATGGGATTTTGAAATGCAAAATGACATTTGAGCACAGGCCACTACTTAGAGGAGACTCTAGGAAGGAAAGATTGCAAACTTTTGCTGTTCAAGGTTTTAATATTAATTATGCTTGTGTTCCTATTAATAAGACTTTATTCTTCAGTTGACCCAAAAAGAGTGCTTCCCTGTCTTGAACAGGCATGCTTGGGTTACAGTATTTTTAAAGACATACCCTAGAACCAAGGACAGCTCCTCTGTTAATATGGGAGCCCCAACATTTTTCAGAGGGTTGATACGACTTGTATAAGTCTGCTTCTGGTGATTTTCCTTGGCTCTCTGAGTGCTTGAATTGGAAGTAAATGAAAAACTGCCTTAGAGAAAAGGGTGCCCATAAGCATGGAGGTATGTTGGCACTACCCTGGCTGGTTTTGCATAACAGCTGATGTGGCTGCTGTTCTGATTCTTCTTAAACTTGTAGCGTTTGAGTGGTTTGTACATGTCAGGTGTGCTGCTTCATTGCCTGACATTTGCAAATCCTTCTGTCTTTGAAGGCATTGAGGATTTTCTTCTAAGGGCAAGAAGCATGGTTCTGTGTGCCTTCTGTTTCCCTGCATTGTGCTGCACTACCAGCGTGCAGAACTTCAAGCCCAAGGGCCAAATCTCACCCTCTTGGAGTTGAAAGCTTGAAATGCCCCTCCTAACATGCCCCACCCACTTATGCAGTTTCTGCAGTTACTATTTACTATATTATATCCTATCTTTCTCCCGCAAGGGACCCCAGGTAGCTTAGAGAATCCTCCTCTATTTGAGCCTCACAACAACCTTGTGAGGTAGGTTGGGCTGAGAGGCAGTGTCTGCCCTAAAGTCACTCAGGCATCTTCATGCTTTCAAGTGGGGACTAGAACCCGGATCTCTTGAGTCCCAGTCTATCACCACTATACCACACTTGTACAGACAGAAGAATTTTACGCAGGTAGGGCTTTTATTTCTAACGCACAACTTATTATTTTTTTCCATTTTAACTGTTGAATAGAAAGAGGCTCAACTGGGCACCAGAGCCTGTCAAATAACCTTCATAGCTACATGATTCAATGCAAAATTTCAAAGGCAGATACTGGTGTTCCCACAGACCTGCATTTATATCAGTACTGGATTCTGCACAAATGCAGGAGGCTTCCTGGCCTGACAACAGGCAAATGCATTGTAAGCTTTGAAGTGTAACTTTTGTTTTTATAAAGGATGGTTACATAATCACTGAAAATCTCACTTACTGTGGCTTATTTTGTGTGCCAAATGTCTTTCATCCTAAAGAAATAGGCCCTTTGCGTCAAAATAGGACTGTACCATGGTACCTTAGATATACTAAAGACATACCTGTCACTGTAGCAGTACCAGCTTTTTCCCTGCCTCTATTAAAGCAATGTTATAATCCAAAATATTTCAATGGCATTAGATGTGTATTTCTTTTCCATTTTTCCTACTTTTAAAAATGTCTTTTATTTCAATGCTCCCTGGCATATAAGATTTCCATAAACTGTCCGAGAAACTTGCATCTGTGTTTTATAGAAAATTTGATAGCATTTTCATACCAACAGACATGTGTTTTGATGTGTAAGAAAAATCCTCTTCCATTTATTCGTTATATAACTAGAAGGATGTAATTACAATTTTTCTCAAATGATGGAATGCAAAAACAAAACATAATTTTATCAGTCTCTATATCTCTCAGAAAAGGAAAAACACAGGGAACATAAATTGCAACCTTAGGAATGTTTCTTTGGAATGTGTGTAACATATGAGTAAATGTATAGTCTACAGTAGTGTAAGGATTATTATATTGTGTCATATTGATGGTTCATGGACAGCCGCCATATCTTAGCAAAGCCCTTGGTGCACAGCAGCATCTCCTTTCCTTAATAGCCAGCAACTGGTAATTGGAGCGAAAATTTAACTTTAAAAAAATGGATTCCCATATGGCCACCTGTTTCATGGGTTCAGTATGCACAAGGGGAAGTAATACGAATATTTTGCTCCTTGCCAGATTTAAGGTGCAGTCTTATGCACCTTTAAACAAAAAAAACTCACGCATTCCTCAGCCAGCACTGTCTTCTGTCTGATTACGCATTGGATGTTAACAGATCACTGTTCTTCATACGGAAGAAAATCAGTTTGTCCTCGTCATTTCTATGCCTTCTTGTTTTCACTACTTTACTCCTCTTTGGTTATTAATCAGGGTAGGCAAAGTGGTGTAGATATGAATGAATAGATAGTGGGATGACATGTTAACAATCTCAAATAACTATCAGGAATTAATGGGTTTAGAGTAATGTGATCAATGAGTATATGAAGTTCTTGTGCTAAGACTTAGTAACACAGAGAAAAATACTAATATTCCTTGAAAATATCAGGAAAAAGACCAATAAATATTTTATACTTGTTGAATTCTTTTGCGATTTCCTGTCAAGATGAATGCCTCTCAAGCTTTTTATCTATTGCCTCATGACAAGCTTTTATCTATTTCACCTCAAAAAATGGTGGCCTCTCTTCTATATTGTAAAAGTATATTTTCCCACACTAGGTTTAAAATAAGACATGGAAAACCATTTCTCCCATGTCTTACGAGCATTTCTCTTTTGCTGATTTAATTCTCTAAACATCCTTTTCTCCTCTTTGTTCAAATATAAAATTAAATGTAACTATGCATACATCATATTAGCAATTGTTATCTGGTAGTTCTGTGAAGATTAATAATTGTAATGCAGAGAAATTAATTTTTATGGTTGATGTGATTCTCATTCAGGAAGGTCTTCCCAGAGATTGACTAATTTTGGATAGGAGTAGCCATTTAATACTGGCCTTACAGCCTGTACATTTCTTCTATTCTTCTGAATCACCAGAAGACTTCACCTTCTTGCTGCTCATACGGGATGCTCCCTTCTCTTGCTTTTGTTTGGTTTTCTATGCTAGTGCCTTTTGCTTGTTTTGTTGTTTCCTGCCCTGCCAAATGCCAGAAAGTGACCTTTCATCCCTCTAAATCTGATCTGCACAGAGGATGGGAAAGTCAGTCCTCTTACCTCCAAGGCTGCTATAATGTCTGAAGCAGAGCTTTGTAGATCTTTCCTCTGGTGAGCCCTGGAATCATTACCAGAAAGCTAAGCAGGAGATAGCTCCAATTTGTTTTCGCGCCACATAACACAGGTTAGTTGTGTCCTAGAGTTAGGACTCCTGACCCTTGTTGCCCTCTCGCCACCCTGCTGTACCCCAGCATTATCACAAGCTGCCTCTGCAGTTCCTCTCAGATCCAAAGTAGATTAGATCCAAGATGAAGTATCTATTTCCCAATGTAACACCTCCAAAACACCTTTATTTTCTCTCTTTTAAATATATATCCATATATTGATATATACCCATAGTAATGCATATAAAATGAATATTGTTTTCTAACCATTACAAATATGCTTCAATAAATTCAGTCAAAATATTCAAATAAGTATCCATTTGAAGGTGATGTCCATATGCCTCGCATTTAGATACTGAAAATGTTGTAAGGTCCTTAGTCTGTTGCATTATAGGAGGTAAGCCTTTATCCTTCCAGCCTTTATCCTTCTGAGGTTGTAATATCTGTCTGAGCTGTCCAAAGAGCATGGAGAACAATTTGTGCTGATCATTTGGCTACTAAAACGACCTTTTTTGTTGTGGAAAACCCTAGTTGTGGAATAAGCTTCCCAGAAAGACTCACCAGATTGCCTTTACTGTGCTCTTTCTAGCTATTCTCTTTGGCATTTTAGACTTTGAGTTTTTATTTAAAATATGTGACTGTATTTTGATCTTTGCTAGATTTTACTTTGGGATGTTCTTCTATATTATACCGTATTCTAAAACATTTATAGGATCTGATGCTATTTTTATGATTGTGTTAATTGTTGCAAACTGCTTAGAGAGCTTTCAGCTATAGTACAGTGCAAAAATGCAATAAACTAAATAAATAAATGCCATGAGACAGGTGAATAATTTAAAATAACATATTTATCAGTGAATAGTATAGTAAAGTCTGTGCCTGTACATAATTTATCTGTGTAATAACCTTTCCCTCTGAAGAAGGACCTACTGGACATTGCCAAAATACATGTTTAAAAGAAGCATTAGCTTACTGCACTGTCAGTAATTAGCCAAATTAGACAATTCCTTATTAAGGAGACATTGTGGTGTCCAGGAAACACAAAAGAACATTTTTGCTGATTAAGATGCTGCATAAAATCCAGAAACAGTACATGTGGATGCCAAAGTGATCCACTGTTAAATGAGGTGTTTTGTGGTATACTCATAAAAGTTTTTGAAATTTCTAAATGGGCTCAAAAATGTTGGAGGACCCTGCCTTAGTTCTTTCACATTTTAATTGGAATAACATAGCATTGGGTGTATGAAGAAGACTACTTCTGATGAAACCTTCTCTTTTCAGTCCTATATGGAAGATCACTTGAAAAACAAGAATCGTCTGGATAAGGAATGGGAAGCACTTTGTGCTTATCAAGCTGAGCCCAATGCAACCAACATGGCCCATAAGGAAGAAAATGCCCAAAAGAACCGTTCTCAAGATGTAGTAGCATGTACGTATAATTTAAATTACATGGGTAACTTACTGTTTTCTTGCCACTGCATGGTTCTTTGTGAGTGATAGGAGACTAGCGAAAAGTGTGTTACTCTGTGTAAGAAAATCTTAATGGTAAAAATTATCTTAACCTATTTACTTGTCTTCCCATGTCCTGCAGACATCACAAAATAGTTGTTGCTTATAAATATGTGGTAGGTTTGCACAACCTCACGATACGATAGCAAATGCTGTTTTTGTATAGGCTTATGTGAAGGCATGCATTTCATGAGGACATGTGAGATGTGCCGACCATTTGCTGCAATGAACTTTGGCTTAGTGGTTGGCACAATATGGAAATTGCATAAGGCTATCAGCTCGTACTTAAAACTGCCTCAGTTGTCTGATTTTCAACTGTAGTGACTGAGTGCCTGTTGACTTCAGCAGATCTTCACTGTGTTGGGCTGAAGATAAAAAGCACAGCCAGGAATGGCCAAGGTGTGTGTGCTTGTTATGTATGACTAAAGCAGCACATCTTTTCCCTACTTTATGACTCCATTATCTGTAACTCACATTCTGTGCTGAATGTCAGATGGCTGAATACATGGCACTGTACCATGAAATGGGCCTTGGCTTGCAATACATGTGTACTTGCGGCAAAAGTCATTTTAATTTAAACTTCATTATTGACAACAGTGTTTTAAGTGCTGCCTTGCTTATTTTGAGAAGAAGAGAGAAATATATGTAGGGTATTTCTGCATTATTAATGTACATACTAGGTGATAGTGAACCTGAAACATAGGCCTCATTGATGAAGCAGGATTTTTTAAAAAATGAGTTGATAGAGTTCAGGTCAAGCACTTTAAGAATGGTTCTGATAAGAAAGCGTAACAAAATCATCAGTATAAGTATTTGGGAAAAATGAAATTGTGTTGCACTTTAGGAGTAAACAATTGTAAGCAAGGCACACTTGACTTAGAATGTATTTGCAGGGGATAGTTAATGAGATGCACTTTTCCTGCACAACTGGTTGCTGGAAACGTGTGTCTATTCAGTCTTCATCTGTATGTGATACTGGTTCACATGTCTTGTTAAGCCCTTTTGAAAATAAACTGGTTTCTGTAAACCATGTTGCTCCTGACAGACAATCACACATTCTGTGGCTATTTTCGTCCTTTCTCCACCCACCTGTCCAGCATATATCCCATGGGCCTTTGTGCCAAAACCTCAGTATCCTATTCTGCTAATGTGTGCTTTGGCCACATTATCTTTCTGAAGGTGAAAAGAAAAAAGTAAAATTAAATGTGTGCAAATCTCTCCAAAGGTGAAAATAATACTGATTTTGCACAAATCTCCACAGAGCTGGCTGGGAAAATATCAGTGTCTAAGGAAGCAATAAAGTGAAGGAGTTAATTGAGTAGTGTCATTTCAAGATGGGATAGAGAGGAGTTAGGATTAGCAAGATATTGAGGAGCAGGCCACAGAATTTTTTGTCACTTGCCAGCTGCATTTTTTGTCATTTTAAACACTGTGAACACATTTTAAACACAGTGAAGTGACTGCAGGTTCAAATGTCAAGGCAAACCATCCTAAGAATGAGCTACCTTAAATAACCATATTACAAGTCATGGGTTCTCAGGTTCTTGCTCAGAAAAACAGCCCATGTTGGAAATGCCAGGCCAGGTTCAGACATCATATTAAGTCCCCTCACAATTTCCCATGGTAGCAGGTCACCATGACCTAGCATGGCATACAGACCAGGTTGTTGGGTGAGGTCATTGATGCTGGTCTGTACGTGTGGATGGCTCCACTCATGAAACCGTGTATGAGAGTACCCACCCCATTCTCGTTTTTTTCTGGAACTTCAAAATGGGCTTTCTTCTTCAAAAAGTAGGAATTTAGGATACCTAAAGTCTTAAGAAAAACTTAACTATCCAGAGCAGATGGGTTGGTGTCACTCTGCAATATAGATTATTCCTAAAGATAGCAAGTCTGCAGCAGAAAATGATTTCTTGTCATCATCTAAATAATTTTTCAGAGAGCTCCACATGTAACAGCAAATGTGCCAAAGCTAAGCCAAATAGTATCTTACTGTTCAAACCAGTCTTTGAAATGTCTGGTTAAACATGTATATATATGCATAATAATAAACTTTTTTTGGGCAGATGATCATTGCAGAATATGTTTAAAAGCTGAAAACAGTCACGACAATTCAGATTACATCAACGCAAGCCCGATTGTAAGTACAAGATAACAAATAAACTATTTTCCGTTTTCTGATTTAATTCTGATGCAGTTCTGGTGCAAGTAAAAGATTAATTGTGATGCAAGTCATGGTAGCCGTTTCTGAGATCATGTATTTTTAAGAATTATGTGTTGTTAATTGTTCCCCAATCAGCCTTGATTTTATCAGTAGTAATTTGTAAGAACTGAAATACAGTTGTTCACCTTTTCTCTCAAAACTATTTTCCTCTACTATAGAGCTCTAAAGATTGCTTCACCTTAAGACATTTAGTGCTGTTCATAAAATGACTAGTGTGTTGCCATGGAGACATCCATCACTTATTTTTCTCCCTGTGACTTCTCGACCAGCAGTTTGCCATTTGGTTGCATGCCTTCTTCTGGTAGAAGTTAGATATAACTTGTGTTCTTCAAAGCTCTCAAGGGGTGGAGTAATTGTTAGTTTTTTAATGCTATGACGTTAGACCTTAGACAAACAGAGTGTGTTTCTAGTTTTGTAAAATTTGCTGAAGCTTGGACTAAGTGATTTTCCCCATAGCTGTGAAGAACTGCTTTTTCCCAGTGACAAAACATTGTGAAGAAAATACTATAAATCCCTTTATCAAACTGTTATTCTTAAGGTGCCTGGATTGTTTAAAACTAAGTAACAACTACTTATATTTATTATATGAGCAAATGATTGTGTAGAAAGGTCTTGATAACTCAGTTAGACAAGGAAATGAACTTCTGCAGAATGAAACCATTTTGGTTTTTTTTAGAGTTCACATAAAACGATTGAGATTGTCTAATCCAATCTTCCTGTGCTGTACTTGAGTCAAAATCCTTCAGCCAAAATAGATATTTTAAAATAGATTGGCTGAAATAGATATTTTAGTATGCTTTCATCTAGATGTGAAATCTGTGTGCTATGGAAGTGCTCTCCTGTTCCTTGGTGATAGTTTCAAATAGCAAATCACGCTTTGGGGCAAACCCTGCATTCCATAAGTAGCATTTGAATATTTTAAAATTCTAGTTCAAGCCCATTGAACTAGATTATATCTTCATTGGAAGGAATAAATAGCTCTTTAGTGCCAAGATTGTCTGGTGTTTTCTTGGGCTTCATTTTAAAAATGTGTTAACTGTTTCAGTGCTGTTGAAGGTAATACTGTTCTGTAAATGTGACACAGGGTAAGCATCTAAGTCTGCAGGAAACCTTATTCCTGTTAACTTTGATACTCATGGACTAAACTTCCCTCCTCTGTTGTGTTTACGTTTTGAACAATTTAACCCTCCTTTAACCATGAGTGAGAAAAAATGGCCAATGAAACAAAACAGATGAAAGAAACCACAGAGAAGATCTGAAATACCAGAGATTTATTGTTATTCATGCCTATAAAATCTTAACATTGACATTGAAAAAGATGCTGTTGCCATTCAACTTTAATAACCTCTAGTAGTTATTATGCCAATAAAAATACATATTTGATGCATTTCTATGTTGCCGTGATTGGATGAGAAGTGAATTGTTACCTATTCCAAGTGGAGAATTAATCATGCTAGAGTGATGAACTATGAATAGACTAGAAAGTTTTATTTTCAATACCACCCATCAGTGTGTAAGATGCCTGATAAAGCCAGAGTTTAATATAAAGCAATTACATTCAGGCCTTGGAAAGGGAAGCTTCCAGGGGTGTACTTATAGCTGTATATTTCCAGCTTCAGGGTCAGTAGTCCAGCCTCCAGCTGAGGCTCACTCAACCTTGGCTTGAGTCTAAATGAGTAAAGCTATACATGCTGCAAGCGGGGCATTTTCTTTGCACTAGACAATAAGTTGGCCACCTGCCCACATCTCTCTCTCTCTCTCGCTTTCTCTCTCTCTCGCACACTCAAAAACTGCTTACCAGTCTTCCCTATCCTTGTTTCTCATTTCTCCTGATGTGTTATTAAAATCCAGAAGTCAGATTTTGTAAACTCAGAAGCAACTTGGAATGCAGTCTAGAAACTGATCCAGTTGAATACCTGTTTGTTTGTTTTTAATTATAAAGCAGACTGAGAACAAGGCTGAGAAATTCCTTGAAAAAAATTAAGTTGGAAGCCTTCTTTCCTGTTCTCTTAAATAACATAAAATACTATGGTAATAATTCTGCTGCCAGCAGTTGAATGAAAAGCTTGCAATTATAGCACAAGGAGACCCTGACTGTGCAGAATAAAACTGTGATAATTACATCTGTCATATTTGTGCTTAGTCCTCATTAAATTTCAGGGAAATCATCCAGTAGTAAATAATGTGCAATCTTTGCTTTAAAATCAGAGGTCATGCAAGTAAATGGGAATTCTGTTTTTCCTCTTATGTTGTTGGAAAGTGGAAGTGGGGAGGGGGGATCCCATCAAGTACATTTAAAAAAAAAAGGCCTACCCTTCCGTTTGCTTATTATTGAAGCCACCAGACTGAGGAATGTGATTAACATGACAGTTTGCTCAAACACAGCACACAGATTTTATCATTGAAAATGGACTCTGAAATTCGTAATGACATTGAAAGCCAGATATCTCACTCCATTATGGCTTTTTTTAAAAAGGGATTTAAAACTGCTTTATTTAGCATTCAAGAAAAAAGATGGACAGATTCTTCTTCTGGCTCCTGTGCCTTTTTTACTTTAAATGGAAGGGTGGGAGTGATGGGAAAAGCAGTATACATGCTAAATATTCTGTCCGTAGTTTTTCCTCTTTCAGTTTTCAAAAATATAGAACTAGGTATATAACATTAAAATATGAAACAGAACTGTATCTGAGCTTGCTATAGTAGTTCTAGTTCACAGATGGTCTTTAAAGGCCTGTTGATTTCATAAGTTTAAACCGGCACTTAAATAAGTATTAAGAGCACACCGAAAAATCAGCAAACTTGCATGCAGATATTTATTTATTTAGAAAATTTCTATGCCGCCCCATTCTCTGAAGCCTCGGGGCGGCTCACAAATATATCAATTAAAATATTATACAATAAAAATATAAAACAAGTTAACACTTGGGATATAGTCCCAGTTATTAGCTCAGAACCAAAGAATTAAACAGAAGAAGTCCACAGTCTAAGTCAGTGTAGTAACTGTGGGGAAAGCTTGGAACGAGATTGGTATGTAAAAATTATTTAACTCAAGTTACAAAGAACAGACATACTGTTTTATGAAACTTCAATATGAGAAATGTTATATTTAAATGTTTGTTAAGTAGTAGAACTTTTTTTCTTTGCAAAAGCATATTTATGAAGTTTTAAAGCAAAGGGTGAAAAAGTCTTTAAAAATAAAAAACTCAAGTTATGACATTATTTTGAGGGAAACAAAGATGCAAAAAGAATGGACACAAATATTTTTAAAATACAGAAAGAATTTATTATAGGAGTATATTTGTATTCAGTGTAGTATCCTTCAGTTTAAACACATTTAAATCAATTTTAATTTGGGGAGGTGAGAAGATGCCTTGGCACTGAAACACCCTAGGTTTTAGGGTGGTTTGATCAGATCTCAGAAGAATTCAAGGCATGGAATTATTTACATTAGTCTTTCCTGTATGGTACTAGTATGCAAAATAAGAGCTATTAATTGTGGTTTGGTTCACATGATTGATTTATTGCCATGTAGAAACATTGTACATGAGTACACTACCTTGCTTTCTGGAGCAGTTGTATGCAACATAAAGTGAAAATTCCATGAAAGCAAAACACATATCATACATCATGTCCATACATTTTTATTTGGACAGGACTGACTTTATTCTGCTTTAACGTATATGTTTTAATATTGCCTAAACATGATAAACTTTTGCTAACCACAAAATGGTTGATAATTGTTTTAGTGAGCCAATTATTTTACTTAGGGTAAATGTACCCATTATATTTACTGTGCAGAATATAGATGCATTTTCAATTTTCTTTATTAAATTATAGGTGTTAGTACAGGTTACAATTCCAGCTGTTAATATAGCACATGGCAGTTCTTATTCTTCCTGATCAGGAGGGCAACCCTCCCCCTTGAATGGCTAGGTGCTTTTGAAAAGTTGACATATGGCTGGAACGGGAAGAAGTAAAATGTAAGCATTTCTATTCTACAGTATATAGTTTATGTATCAGAATATATACAGATCATCAGTAAATACATCAACATATAGTACTCTGATGGTAAGTATTAAGTGTATGCAGCCTGCTCTTGTACTTTAATTAACATTTAAGCATAGCTGCATGCAATGCAGTAAGTGTAACATGTAGTTAGCCCTGTCCTTCAAATAATCTAGGTCACTGCTTCTGACTTTTCTGTTTGTATTAAGAATTTGTGAAATGTTGAAAGAGAGGATAGGCTGATGTTCAAGATGTTTTAGTACAACATACAGATCTCACACATCTTCATTATTTCTGTTCTCAAGAGATCAAGATGCCCTTAAGGATTGTTTGTAAAATTATTCTTTAGATGCCTATCTATTTATGCAAACTTTCATTGGCCAAGTTTCTAGCTGAATTATATCAGTTTATTTGAATTGAGCTAAAGGACATAATTGATTATAACATCTGGTACAAGCTGCAGTAGTTCATAAGATTTGACTGAAGGGTTTACTCAGGTATTGGTATAATGCTAATCCTGATGCCTTTTCTTGCACTAGCTCTGGGATCATGCTCTGGCCTTGAGGCTTTTGTCGCGTCTCTCAGTACTGCAGCATCTTGGCCCTTGCTCAGAACTTTTTTCTGAGGGAGGCCCCTCTGATCTAGAATGAGGCATATCTGAGACTAAGAATAATAGATACCAAGACACTTTTTGATCCAGTCTTTCTAGTTAACAAAGGTATCATGCTTTTATCCTGCACTTTCCTCCAAGAAAATCAGGGCAGTTACATGATATGCATTCATGGTATGATAGGGATTTAACTCCCTGGTTCATATCCAGTACACTGTTGTTGTATATGTTGTCAAGTCATCTCCAACTTATGGCAACTCTGTAAATGAAGGCCCTCCAGGATGTCCTGTCCTTGACAGACCTGCTTGGCTCTTGTAAACTCAAGGCTGTGGCTTCCTTTATAGAATCGATCCATCTCATATTTGGTCTTCCTCTTCTTCTAGCTTCAACTGTCTTAGGTTGTCTTCTCCAGTACTTACTGACTCAAGCCCCTTTAGGTATGCTTAAATTGTAATGCTGGTGCCACCCGTACATTGGCCCACTGAAAAGGTTGAAGAGAAGAGAGAGGGTCACTGCATGCAGTTATATACCATCATCACTGCAACTGTGAGGCTAAAGATAATGGAGAGAAATGTTATCAATGGCTTAATGTCACCATGGCTAAAAAATGCAAAAAGAAGCAGAAAACATTGCTGATAGAATCATCTGGAGGTATTGGCTGAAGCCACTTGGCATGAAACCTAATCATGGTCCACTTTTCCCCCTGCATTCCTTGTATCATTTGTGAGCCTTTTTCCTAAACTTTCTGAAATCTTTCTCAGTCATACTCCTTTGCTGCCTGTGCCCATTAGCTTCCTAGGGCTCCTGCCGCTGTGCATGACAGTGCCACAAGAATTAAAATAGCTTAATAAGATTTGGTTGTTCTGCACAAAGGCTGAATTATATTTCAGAGATGCTCTCAAGCTTTGCATTCCACTTGTGAGTGGAGCCAAAGGCAACGGGGTAAAAACCTATTCACATATTGCAGCTTAAAGTACTTATTGTCAATTGTCCCCAAATGTACATACCATATTTTTCGCTCTATAAGACGCACCTGACCATAAGACATACCTAGTTTTTAGAGGAGGAAAACAAGAAAAAAATAGTCTGAATCAAATGGTTTACTAAACTATTTAATGAACTATAACAGAATACAGTAATACCGTATTTCAACCTTGTAAAGTGAACAGCAGTCAACAGGGGCATTAAGAACCATCATCACTGTCATTAACAAAAGAAAGACTTTAAAGTTCGAGTACTCTTCTAGTTTTCGTTGAACCCATAGAACTCATCAACACTAGAGTCAGAATTTATGAAGCTCTTTTGCTCACAATCACTGACATCACTTTCTTAGTAGTGGAATTATTGAAGGAATTCACAATCTACACCAGTTATACAAGAGCTGCTGCAGACAATTCAATAACAAATCTAAAAAAGCCAGTAATGTCCATGCTGCCCTACTAGTAAATAATAGAAAAAAACTTCTGACAAAAAATGAGATATTGTACGGTAAATCAAACACACAGTGGACTAAGTAGCCTTTGAAGAATAAACTTCATACACAAAGGTAATGCTGTTCAAATATCCACTGATCCTAAAAAAATGTGTCTGATCAACTAACAGATAACTGATCCATGGAAAGCTTCCTGATAATCACAGGCACATTCCCCATCACTTCCCCATGGGCTTCATTAAAAGACGGGTTGCCATTTGAAAACACACACCGACCTGTGATTAACAGCTCTCACCTGCGCAGGAGGAGGGGGGCGGAGCAGGGCACGCCTACCGCCAGGTGGTGCCACGTGGTACAGGCAGCCGGCAGCGTGCCGGGCGTCAGGCACACATTCACTCTATAAGACACACAGACATTTCCCCTTACTTTTGAGGGGGGGGGGGGGGGGAGTGCGTCTTATAGAGCGAAAAATATGGTACTTAATTTTTGAAATAAGTTGAATCACCATAATATACTTAGACTTCATACAAGTTTTCCAAATCATGTTTAGTTTTATAATAAGTACTTAAATGTAATATTGTTGTGTTCAAATGAATATTTTTTTATTTTCCCAATGTTTTAAGATTTGATTGTTTTAATATGGTTTTTATTGTTGATTGGTTACAATTTTGACTAGGATGCTGTGTTTCATTCTATTTTGTCTTTATTGTTAAACCATCCCGAGACCACAGTAAGGGACAGTCTAAAAAAGTTTTAAATTAAATAAATAAATGACTTGAGTCTAGTTCCATGCTCACTTTGGGTCTGTTGTTCTGAAATAGATTTGCCTGTGTGAACTCACACCTTTTTGACATTTCAGAAGCAGTTTGTTGATTCTGCATGACAATGTGATGTTTAGGGAAAAAACCTAAAAATAGCAGAGGTCATGACCAATTCGTTAAATATATCTAAAGTACAAACAAACTATCTCCTTGGGTAAAAATGGTTTATGAAAAGTAGTGATTAATTCAACTCCGAATTAGAAGATATGTGAAAGGACCCACCGCTCCAAAAAACCCCCAGAATGTAGCAGTTGTAACAAGGAAATGCCACACAATTTAATTCCATATAGCCTTCTCTATTAGAATCCCCCTTGCTGCTTTTTTTCCACAGAGAGAACCAAAAGAGGGGCACCAGTATTTCAGAAGTAGCAGGAGTATTTTTTTATTTTACACTGGAAAAATGGCACAGGGAAAGGGGTTAAACTCCACTTCTGCAGTGGTGCAGCTGTTCCACATGCAAAAGCTGGCAGTCAGTTTGATGTTTTGTTTTTAACTTGGGAAACTCACAATCACCGCTTTTGGATGGCTTGCTTGAACTTTATACACTTTTTATATGCTATGTTATGGGCTGCTGCCATCTATTATTTAATTTAAAAAACCCGGCTACATTTTGGGGATAGGGTGAGTTCGGTTGCAGGGATCAGTACTTGATGAAATAATCGAATTGGCTCTCTTGAAACTGCAGGCCTTGTTCCTGTGTTTGTGTATTTGCGTGTGTATGTTAATTCTGTGTTAGGGGTTACTATCAATGGGCTTTTGTTGTTTTTCTTGTGGTTAAATTCCCATTGGCTGATCTTGTCCTTATCAGGAGAATGGGGCCAAAGATTTAGGACCAGAAGACCCACCCAACAGTTTGAAAACACTCATTGTAACTACCTAATCCTATTTACTTTTCATGGCTTTGTTTCTGAGGATCTCTTTTTTTCTCCTCAGTCACTCTTTGAAATAGATGTAATAATTAAAGCCTTTAAACAGAACTTTCTCTATTGAAGGTTATAAGCCTGCATTTTAAACAAATGAACTAACCAGAAAAGGCCAGGATTGAGTTTGTTCTTCAATTTTGGCTTGTTTTTAGGTACATGTGCCCTTGAGTGCTATGATGGAAATGGGAAAGATACTTAAATGTGCCTGGCATTCTTAATGTCCAGTACTGAGAAATGTTTGAAGGGGCTTGCAGGTTGCTATGAGACAGAACCCCGCTAGTAAATGCACTTCGTCAGCAAATGTTCCTTAAACAATCTCACGATACATATTGAGAAAATAGGCTGTTGATCATTAGGCGTCTTAATATTGGAATATTGGCACTGTTTTCTTGTGGAAAGGAACTTTTATACTAAGGAAAGGAAATAAAATATTTTGCCCCTTTTAAAACATGATGGATAATTGATCTCCTTCATTAATACAGCAGAAAATTGCATTTATCCACTGCTCTGTGTCGAGCTCTTATTGAACACTGGGTCTAATTGTTTCTGTTTTCCTCCTCCAGATGGACCATGATCCTAGGAATCCTGCATATATAGCTGCACAAGGTCCCCTGCCTTCTACGGTCACAGACTTCTGGCAGGTAAAAAGCTTGTTAACTGCATTTCTTTGCACAAATATTTTTGCACTGATAACTATTCAGAAAAACAATCTTGTGAACTTGCAGCAATATACGGGGTTATAGTATATGTTAAAGAAAACCTGTACTACTTTTGTGTGAAATGATGAAGATCTTGCATGTGGATACATGAACCTGGTTCAGCTCATATACTATTTATATGTGGGAAAGGGGAAGTGTTAGAGCAAAATAGGATCTTACTGGCCAAAAGAGGCCGAAAGGAGCTTTCGTTTTATTAGGTATATGCATAAATTATTAATAAATCTAATTGAAGTAAATGTGGCCCCAAGAGAACAGCATAAAGCACAGATCTGTCTGACACTCAGAATGTCATTTGGGGTATGGAAGAGATCGCTGGGGAAGTGGAAGATGGTTCCTGCCTAGGAACTTTTGAGAAGAAAATCTAAGAGAAACTACAAGGCACGTGGAAGCAGCTTCAGTGCAACTATCAGTGGAAAGGAACAATCACTGTGCATCACAAGAAACTACTCCTTAGGAACTGGAAGGCAGGGACATCAGTAGGAGATGTGTGAAAGTACTTTCCTAGAAAAAGCAGCAACTGCATAGTCTCTTCTAGAAGTTCAGGGAACAGGAGCCTGGATGTAGCAAGAGTAACAGGAGACATATTTCTGAAGTCTTACTTCTCTATGTCTTTAAAAAAAAACCAGTAAAATGCCAAATGTTGCCTTAACCCAACATTTAATTATTGCATTATTCATATTGAGCTTTTTTTTTAAAAGGGTATAATCTGTGTGCTTTTCTCTACTAGCATATCACTGTTTGGTGGAGTACTGGAAATTCTGGAATTCTGTATTCAGTTTGACCCCTATAAAAAAAAACAGGGATTTACAAGGACATGGGCTGGAAACTTTGGAAAGCAATGGCAATGCTGAGAAAATCACATACGTTACAAGTATATTATGCATGAATGAGCTTTGTTCCATGTGAGTTCTTCTGCTGTGCTCCCACTTTTATTTTCTCTTTCAGTTCCACATCTGTGTAAACCATATTCATATCCAGATTATTGCTATGAGCAGACTGTGGTTTGCCTACAGGCGAGACTTGTAAACTCAGTACAACCTGCCTAGCAGAGCTCTAGAAAACATTTGTTCAGGTTGCATAACTACACTGACATTAGTCCATCTTAGGGAGTGAGCTGCAGTGTGACACAGATAATCTCTAAGGTAGCAGGGTATAGCAATAATTTTACCTTGGCACAATGCATGAAGAACAGAGACATTTTCCTCTTATCCGTCCTCCCATGCCTCATTTAATCCATCCAAGAAAAGAGTCAAAGCTTTCAAGAAGACTTTGGTTTGGTTAAGGAGATAGAGCTGTCCTTGATTCAGAAGGATGCGGCAGAGAAATGGAGACTGGCCCTCCAGTTGTGGACCTCCAGCTCATCTGGCTGAGCCATTGACCATACTGGCTGAAGTTGATGATAGTTGTGGCCCTCAAGAAATGGTTGCACTTCAAGTTCTTGCCTCTGATATAAAGGAACATTTGAGTTCTTTTTTGTGCAGGAGCAACACTGTCAAAAAACAACACATCTGCATAACTGTTAATATCCTTTGTGCATATCATTTCTGCTGTAGTGGTAGCAGGATTCTGTGAGTGACCATACATTTCTAAGTAGTAATCATACTCGGCACTGAACCTTTCTAATGGCACTTTTATGGGGTTGCAAAAGTCATATGCATTACCCCTAGTGTGGTTTTTAATTTTCCAGGTATTTACAGACACAAGTATATTGCTGCAAGTTTATTGATAATGAGCAGTTGGAAACCATACACATTTACACATCAGTGTAACTTCCCTCTAGACCCAAAGGCATGCCTTCTAATCAGCTTAGTTCATAGTCATAAATTAGAAAGGGTACAGTGGAGGGCAACAAAAATGATCCACAGTTTGGAAACATTGCCCTATGAAGAGAGACTGAGAGAACTGGGCATGTTCAGCCTTGAGAAGATGGAGGCAGGGGGATGAGATCCCTCTATAAGTACCTCAAAGGCTGCCACAAAGAGGAAGGCCAAGATGTCTTCTTGCTGATGCCAGAGTGTAGGACATGAAATAATCAATCCAAGTTGTGACAACCCAGATTCAGGCTGGACATCAGGAAAAGCTTCCTCGCTGTCAGAGCAATGCAGCAGCTGCCAGAAGAGGTGGTGGGCTCTCCCACACTAGAGACATTCAAAAAGAAACTGGACAGCCATCTGAGTGGGATGGTATAATGTGGTGTCCTGCAACAGCAGGGGGTTGGACTTGACAGCCTTCATGGCCCCTTCCAACTTACTATTCTGTGATTCTGTGATTCATACGATGAATGTCATTTAAACTTCCTCCTATTGGTATATTGATGGAAGAGCAGATAGATGAGTTTTCCTTAGATGAAGTACCTGAATCTTGTTATATTTGTAAAGGGATCATCTTTACTGCAAAGTTTATTACTTACTGTTCATGTCTGTATTGTAATGGATTGAGTTGACTACTGGTCTGTTGGAAAAGATGCTTTTTTTGCTTTTTACTTATTTTTTTCCACTCCCATTACATGTTTCATATTTGTCCATATAACGAAAGCTCTCTGAACAGTTTACAAAATCAAAAATCTAAAACAGACAGTGCACACACCCACATACGTCAAAATAATTTAAAGAATCATGTTAAAACGTATCATATGCTGCCAATTTACTGACAGCACAGAAAGATTGTCAATTGCCAGCGAAAGGATAAAAATGTTGACACTAAGCAAAATTCAAAATGTATTTATTTATTTTTCTATTTATATCCTGCCTTTTCCTACAAAGGGCTCAAGGCAGCTTACATCATTCTCCTTCTCCATCTTATCCCCACAACAACAACCCTGTGAGGTAGGTTGGGCTGAGAGTCTGTGGTTGGCCCAAAGTCACCCAGTTGGCTCCATGGCTGAGCGGGGACTAGAACCCCCAGACAACAACTTGTGTTGTAAGCCGCCCCGAGGCTTCGGCAAGGGGTGGCATAGAAATGTTATAACAACAACAACAACCCAGATCGCCTGAGTCCCAGTCCCACGCTCTTAACCACTACACCACACTGGCTCTCTTTTGGAATTGAGGAGCCACCACTGAGAAGGCGCTCACCCTTTTTGGCACCTTCTGATCCTTGCTCACAAAAGTCATATGGAGGAGGGCCTTGGATGATGAGCATAGTATACAGGTAGGCTCATGCCAAGGGAAATGGTTTATCAGGTATGGAGTCTCAAACCCAACATTTAACTGGACTCAGAAACATAAAGGCAACCAGTGCAAGTTGGTCAGAACCGTGTTACCTGTTTGGACCTTCTTGTAACTCTTTTTCAGTCTGGCTGCCACATTTTGCACAAGCTACAGCTTCTGAACAATTTCCAAAGACCCCATTTGTGTGATTCTGAAAGGGCATCATTGCATAGACAGTAGGTGCTTTAACACTTTCTGAAATAACAGACACTTCTTAGACAATTCAAAGCAGCTGTGTGCTCACAGACATGAGTGTGTATGTTTAGTTGATACCAGTAAGAAAATATTTTAAATAATTCCATAATCTACCAGTGTCCTTGCCAGAAACAACCTTCAACTTAGCGCTTTCATTAAGATTCAGTTTCCATGAACAGGCAAGGCTGCAATCCTTAAACATACTTCCTAGAGAGAAACTCTTTCAATTTGCTGAGACCTATTGATTAAGCTTGCTTAGAATTGTGCTCCACGTGATATTAGACAAGAATTAAATAAGTCTGTGAAATCCTATTTTTAAAAGAATCCATTAAATTCTATACAAATACATATATTTCCGAGCCGCTCTAATAAAAAAGCGTGAAGCACGTAACAGAGTGTTTGCAAACATCTTTGGGTACCAGCTGTACTGTTTGGTTTGCTCATTAGCTTAAACATTGTGAGTTGAGTCAGAAGAGCCATCAGGTAGCTCAGAGTGGTGAACTGCATGTGCCGTGATGCCCTTTGGCCAACTCTCGTCAGAAACGCATGGTGCACTGGGGACATGGCCTGTCTCAAGTAAAGTAGAAAGAAACCAAAAGTAGCGCTTACGCACGTTTGCAGTAGCTGCTGTGGAAAATGGGGACATTTGTTTGACTTGGGGTGATTTGTTCATTTATTCTGTGTTGTCTTTCATGAGGGTAACATGAGCCTATATTTTTTTCTGTGGGGAGGGAAATGGAAACTTGGTTTCAAAGAAGAGTTACCTGTGATAGATGGTATTCCTCTGAAAAAAACTGCAGGCTCATAAATTATGATGCCAGGGATATCAGGTGTTCTGGGTACTACATATTTGAAACACAGGCCCAGAAATGCAGTTGTCTGTACTGGTTCGTGATCACTTTTGAATACCTAAATCTGAAGGCACCGTTGTACCAACATATACCTTCCTTGGTATCCAGTAGACTTCTTAGCCTCTTGAGTTTTACATTTATTTTATAAGTCACTGTTTTAAAAAAAATGAAAAGGTACCGTGCTACAAAGCACCACACTGGCCTTCAGGACCAGTTTAATTTTCAAAAGCGTCTCTGGGCTCTGCTTGACTGTGCTGGCTTTTTGACTGAAGTCCAGGCAATTTGCCTTTGTTTCTCTGAGTGTCTCCAGTCTGCCTACTGTGAAATGGGTATTTTGTTGTGCTTCACAGCGTATATGATTTGGCATTTGACGCTTGGGTCCCCCCTTTGCCTCTCTTGGCCAAGTTACTTGGCTGTGAGCTTCAGCAGCCTGCCATTAGTGAAGAAGTTTGAGCAGAAAACTGTGGATTAATGTGTTTTGGAGTTTAGATTTCACACACATGCAGATACATTTGTGCACACCTTGTACTCAGGTTCTTGGACAAGTTACTTTCATTTAGTGTTACCAGTTTGCCTTCTGAGAAATAGGTATGTTGTCACTACCATCACAGTTATTTTGTCAGCATACTCATTATATTTGCTCAAAATTCCAGATGTGCCCACTGGACCAAAGCGGTTTGGGACCCTCTTGCCCTAAGTATCTTGGAGCACTTGCATACTCTGAAACTCTGAAATTGTGATGCAGCACAGTAATTGAACTAGAAAGTGTTATGTCCTGAGTCATCTAATTAAAAGCTTCGGCTGCGTCGGTAATTGTTGTATTATGGCAATATTCAGAAGTGATCTGAAAATTAGATCCACATCTAATACTTGCAGAAGATCCACTACTTAAAGGCAAAAGTTGGCCTTCAAAATACCCGTCTAGGAGACAGTAGCAGTGAATAGAATACAGCATGCAGTGGAAGGCCTAATTCATTGCCCTGGTCAGAACAATGAGGAAGCCTAATATAGTCCTTTTGTTGGGATCTGAAGCTTGGGCCCACCTCTCCCTGGTGATGAGCAGCATGTTTCACCTTGCAAGAGCCTGCAGGACAAGAAGCACACCTATAGGTGCTTGTGAGGATCAGCACTTGTGTGATGCAGCACGACTGGAAGTTGTGGAAGGCCCTGTGGCAGGCTTCTCTGGACTGCCCAGCTTGATTCCAGCAGTACAGGCCACTGTGGAGGACACCTGTCCTTTTGATTCTGTCTCTAGTCTTGCTTTCATTTGTGCCTTGACTCCTGCTCATGCTTGTTCCTGATTTTGCCTTTGCCTCTGGCCCTTCTGCATTCTCCTAAGACCTCCATAATCCCTGGGTCTGATGGCCCAGCCATAGAGACCTGACACCTACGTCCCGGACCTGGCATCTACTGTGGAGGCTTCTGATGATTGAAAGAGTCCTTCAAGATGGGGTGTTATAAGTCCTGCCTTCCTGAAGGAGCTCTGTTCTTATTAAAGCAGCTGGATGCTAACTGAGGCATGTGCTCCAGCAGTTCTGTAATGCCCTGTACTGCCCCTAAAGACTGATGCAGTTTTCAACCCAGGTTCTGTAGAACTGCTGGACGTTCTGGGAATGTGTCTGCCTTAGGATGCGGGGAAGGAAACTTTCAGGAACAGTGGTGAAGGTTTTTCTGGCCTTTGGGTTTCTCCCTCTACTTGTGCCTCAATCGTTGCTTCCCAAGATGCACTAGAGAGGGCACCTCTCCTACTCTCACCGTTCCAGATATTCTTTGCAGTTGTGAGAGTCCTGGGTCCTGCTAGGAGTATGATACTAGTCCAAAAGCGAATGTTTATGACTTCATGATTTGCCTATGTACTTTGCCATCGCACATACAGGGAGACTTTGATGCAAGGCTTTTCTCAGACATGTGATACCAGCTATAAAGCTGCAGGCCTAGACTGGATTCTTTAGTAAAAGGAGGAAAGTTCTCCTGGCCATGGAGAATAGCATGGTTAGAAATGGGAGTGGCAGAAGAACACAATAGAAATTGTGATATTTTGATAGCATATGTTGTTAGATATCCATGTTTCTTTGCTTCATTTATTGTAGTCTATTTGGCACACTGAATGTATCTTCCTATAGAAAATGCAGGCATGCTAAGCTGCCCTTACTATATGACGTGGTTGCCTCAGGGAGTAGAATCCAGCTGGACTGTAACTTTTTGTTTATGTCAGGAACCTCTCAAACAGCAACAGTCTAAAGTAATTGAATAAATGACTGGCTAAGCAGCATGTTTTTGAAGCAGTTACAGAAATATATATGGCCAGAAAACATTGCTAAGGAATCTCAAGAAAGGTGAATCGGAAAGAATTCTGTCTTTTTAAAAATGGAGAGTTACAGTAGACATCAGAGTGTTAAATACAACTGCAGTATCCTAACATTCCGTTGCTGGAATTCAGTTGCATTGCTAGTTTGAGTGTCATGTACTTCATAAAATGACGTGTAAAGAAATATGGTACCCTTGGGTAACTTTGAAATTGTTTGTTTAAATTAACTTTCATTTGGATTTATGCTTAAAGGGAATTTTCAGAGAATTGAGGCAGTGTCTCTGTAATGAAATGCTTCTGGGGGCTGGGGGTTAGTCAGTGAAAAGGGTTGCCAAACTGTAAGGACTCTTCTTCCCCATTCTAAATGACTGGGCTTTCATAATGTTACACTTGGGTGGCACAAGCAACTGCTAGATGATTAGTTTATGACTTAGATCATTGTGTTTTTATTGCACTCATAAAAACCATGTTTCTCCTCATTTCCGTAATGGCTTCATTGAGCTTCTATACCTTCTAAAGGCACATTAAATCGTTATATGATAGAAGCTCCAGCTAGCCTGGCCAATTTGTTGGTGAGTTTTTTCTTTCAACACAGATAACTTCGAATAAAAGATATAGTTTAGAATTCAGAGAAGTGTGCAAATTAGTAGAATAGGGCATATCATATAATATATATAGTATTAGATTTTTCCTGAAACTTAAGATGTCACTGAAGGGAACAGAAAACCGATAGTTAAAAATTATTTGCTGTAAATCAATTGCATTGTTTTTGCATTTTTCAGAATTTGCAGCAAAATTCACTGATTTCAGGGGTACCAGGAAACAGTACCTCTTGGAGAGTACAGGGTTGTCACAGAGGCCTTTAAGCAGAGTTTTATTCTTCCCCACTCCCAATCATTAAAAGAAAAAAAATCAAGTATGTAAAATTTCATCCCAAGCAATATGTATACTTTTGACTTTGCGTAAATGATATCAACTATTTGTAAGATTTTTTTAAAAGAACAAACGTATAATTGTTCTGTAAATAAAGCAAAATAAATCAGGGTTTTAAAAAATCATGCGCCACAAAAATGGAAGCTTTTAATTGAATGTAGCATCTCTGTGCTGCTTATCCAAATGGCTCCTTTTTTCTTATTTACTCCATTTACATCTCAATACAGTTGCTTATAAATATTTCTCTGAAATAAATGTAACCCTTTGCAGAAAGATCAGTTTCCTTTTCATGAGGTAATTTTATATGCTAATAAAAAGACAATGAAATTGCATGCAAATATAGCATCAATGTACACCATAATAATGAAGACTTTTAGTGATTATGTAGCTCCATATTAATTCAGTAGAGGGTTTTTGTTCAACAACAGACAGTATGCAGCATAGATTCACCATCCTGACTTGTTTTACTGCTTCTATGAATAACATCTAGCAAACCTTTGAGAATGCATTAGATTTGTTTGTTTGCTCCCAAACTGCTGTAATTATTAAATAGACTCACAGTTGAAGTACCTTTGTTCTCATCTTTTCATGAAATCTGTATATTTGGGGAGTAGGTTGCATTATCTTTTATTTGATTTATGTGTGAAACTATGGTTTATTTGCTTATGAGTAGACATACCAACTTCTGGTAGGAAGTGTCTAAGGCAAATTTGGCAAGGAGTGAGGAATATATGATGCATAAATATCTTTCCAGAGGGCTAGTAGTTTTTGTTTTTGTTTGTTTTTGTGAATGCAGCTTCTGTAGCTGTTCCATTAACATGACAACTCAACTGATTATCTTTTAACATGACAAACAGCTAAAGAATCCAACCTAAGTTACAAGCTGTATTGCTATTTGACTTAGCATAGTAGATTTTACTGGCATCTTGTTAATTGCATGCATCCATATTGGTTTTGTATACAACAAACAAATCCGATGCAGCAGAGGTTTCTTTCTTTTTTTAAAAAGAATGTCTATTGTTTACTCTGTAAATTAGGAATATGAAAGTGAAAAAGGACTGAAGATAATTTCAAAGAAAGGCATAGAATCTATTTATTTAAAATGCATTTGAAGGAATTCTTTGAAGATTCTTTAATATTTCATGTGTACATACAAAATATGATGCCAGTTTATCCAGAGATTTGGAAGCAGCTGCAGAGAAAAGTGTCTAATGAAAATGAAATACATTTCCTGTGAATGGAATAAATTTTGATTGTGTGTCTGAGTGCAGTAATTATACATGTCATGCAGTAATTAGGCAGTCACAGTGGCCATGGTGTCTTTCTTTGTCTGCAGATGGTCTGGGAAAACGGCTGTGTCGTTATTGTCATGCTGACACCCCTTGCTGAAAATGGAGTCAAACAGTGCTACCACTATTGGCCAGATGAAGGGTCAAACCTCTACCATATCTACGAGGTACTTAAACAAAATATCCGCTTGTAAACCTGACAGTAAGTGTGTGGATTGATTTCATACAGAGCAAAATATTGCTTAATGGGATTTGACCTGCAAACTGAGCTGAGGTCTACCATAAAATGCAATCTTGTGGTTCTTGAATCATTTCAGCTTCATTGAAAATTCTATGCATATCTTGATAGCATGGTTAGCAGAAAAGCAATTCTGTGTAGATTCTAAATATATACATGGCCAAAGAGGTTTGCAAATTAGAATGCTTTTCCCAAGGATTTAAAATACAAACAAGGAGGGAATTAAAATTTATACATTAAGGAAATATTGTGCCTATAAATATTTAACAGTAGCTTTAGGTTCTACAGCTTGTGAAAGTTTTCTAATCATTTTGATAATTAAAATTATTTTTATTTTGTTTTTTCCCCCCAATTCAGACTTATAGCTGTGCATTTCCAAAAAACAGCTTCAACCATATCCTTAGTCAAGTGACCCAGGGCAGCTTTCACTTGTTCTGCAGCCCCAATATAGAAGCTTAGCATATCTGGTGCCAAGATTTGTGTTAGCTCTGTAGTGACTGTAAATCCTGAAGAACAGTGCATTAGAAGTCTTTGCAGTCATTCTTGCCATCACCCCAGCTATTTATTTATTTAGGATTTTTGTTGTACCATTTGTCTTTGAAGAGGCCTTGGCAGGATTTAGAACTGCACTTTCATCCTGACCTCTGCTATGCTTCAAGCATCACTTATTCAGCTGTTTATGTTACAAGTGGCATTGTGAATCTGATGTTACACTTAGCAATTCATTACTATATACAGTTGCGTCAGATTTTACTTTTGAGGCTTTTTCTGCCTATTATACAGCAATGTTAAAATGCTGGATAAATAATGGCAGCATGTTTTGAAAGCATGGTGCAGAGCAGCTGGGTGCATTCTAGCTACCCAACTCTACACGCACAAATAAAAATCTTGAGCTGCTGGTCATACAGCAATACGCCCCACCCCAGCATCTGCTAAGAATGTGGAGAAAAAGCAAATCGGTTGCTGTGCTTCCATGTGGCAGAAACTTCCATGTGAAGATCCGAGGAGAAAAAGGAAAAAAACCATGCATGATTGAGATGTTGTCCAAGCAGTGGTCCTAATGGTTATATGGCATAGATATCCTGTCAAGCTTTACCTGGGTCTACTTCTAGAAGTGGAATATTACTGTGCCCTTGTTGCTTCTGCTGCTTGCCAGATATAATTTGGTGCAGGAACAACTCATTTCAGGGTCACAGGACCATATTGTTCAGATTCTGTTGCTGCTCCTGCTGCTTTTGTTAGATTGCTCCATTTTGTCCTCACAACACCAGTCTTGTGAAGGTTGGGCTTAGATTCTGTAACTGGTCTAAAGTCACCCAGGATAAAGATAACAGACATCAGAGAGCCCCCTCTAAGAAAGCAAGGAGGATGGCTATTAGGGGATGGGCCTTCTCAGTTGTGGCTCCCCATCCGTGGAATCAGCTCCCCAGAGAGGTGTGCCTGGCACCCACTCTTGGCTCCTTTTGGCACCAGATGAAAACCTTTCAATTTTCCCAATATTTTAATAGTCAGACTTTTATTTCTATTTTATAGCATTTTATTACTCTATCTCTAGATTGATTTAGCGGCAGTTTGGTGAGTGGATTATTATTTTATTGTGTTATTGTATTTGTATAAATTGTATCATTGTAATTTTATAATGATCATTTTTATTGATTATTGTATTTTGGTCTTGATTTTTTGAACCCTAACCCAAACCCTTTGGACTGATGCAAGGTAGAAATATAAGAAATACATACATTTGCCTAAGATACATTCAGTCAGTGATCTAACTGAACCTAGTTAATGTAGAGTATTTGGATTTAAGCAGCCTTAAAAGAATTTAATTATTTAGTTTTGTATCTGAGCCTGTTTATTAATAAAGAGAACTCAGTGCTTATGAAATATATGCAAAATGATACTATTCTGATATTTCAAGGTCATTACTTTATATTAGGAAGAAAGGAAGCTGTCATCCTGAGTCCAACTGCCTGTCCATCCAATCCATTGTTGTCTGACTAACAGCACTGGGAGCTGGGTTTCCTCCTTCTGCCTCTCAGATAACAGACAGTTCTTCGCCAGAAAGCACTTTATTTCCAACATTCATTCACCCAGCCAGAGATAGCATTTTAGATCTAGGTCTATGCAGGCCCCCAGTTGGCTAGCCCTTCTCTCCCCACACCACATCACGGGGTCAGGGATTGGACTAGGCTCTTCTTACTCCTCTCGCGTGATCCCTCCCTGCACTTCCAAGCCCTGTTGTTTCCCAAGATCTGCCTGAACAGCTGGAGCAGGAAGCCTGGCAGTAAGCTCTCCTCCTCCAGCATCTCTCTGTCCACAGACCTTGTTTTCAAGCCCTCACTAACCTTGTCTGAAGAGTCAGTGCCACCCTGGCTCTGGAAAGCACAGCCTCTTTCATTCCTACAGAAAGTGGTTCTCCAAGCTTCAAGGTGCCGAGAATTAAATCCAGGATCTTGTATGTGCCTTGCCACTAAACCATGGATAACTTCTCATGCACAAACTTTTAGGCTGGGTTACAGGACCCCTTTAATAATTAGGATTAATGAGACTATTTAGCAAATATCTTTACCCCATTACTTCACTGTGACCAAACAGATTAAATGTCCTGCCCTGAAGAGTTTGCAAATTGACTGTAAATTCGGTTTAAGTGGAAGTGTCCTGTCAGCTGATCTGTGGGTCACATCTGACAGATGGTGCTTAGGATCTCCCTTAGCATATTTTAAAAATTTCATCTTATTTGTCAGTTCTCTCCAGCAGGGGTAAATGTTAAGTGAGTTGTAAATGGTAAAGTAAATGTTAAGTTGAATGCAAGTTTAACATTGTCCAGCCCTTTGACATTCGACCATATTGCATCTTCAAATGTCTAGAATCACTGGACTAATCTCTAAAAGGGATTGTGGTGATATTAATATTGCTGGGTAGAGGTGGGTAAGGATCACTCTCGTATATCTGCTCTTTACCATCTACTCTAATTTAGCAGGTAGACAATTATGGTTAGAAACTATATAATATGATTTCCATCAGAGCAAAGTTATCTAACATACATATTTGTATTAAAATGAAGTATTTATGTATTTAAAGCTTTTCTATACCATCCTCTTACCAAGACACTCAGGATGGTCTTACAGTAAAATGAAGTAAAGCACAGCATCATCTTCCATAAAATCCCAATTAAAACTACCATTTAAACCTTAAAATGTTGGGGAAATAAAAAGGTTTTGGCCTGGCACCAAAAAGAATGAAGTCTGGGTGCCAGGCAAACCTCTCTGGGGAACATATTCCATAACTAGGGTGCCACCGCAGAGAAGGTCCTTCTCGGGTTAGCCACTCTCCTGATTTCCTTCAAAGAGGGCTCCTGAAGAAGAACCTCTGACCTAGAACTTAAGGGGTGAACTGGCACATAGGGAAGGAGATGCTCCGTCAGATATCTAGGTCCTAAACTGTTTAGGGTTTTATAGGTCATCATCAGCACTTTAAATTGGGCCCGGACTTCAGTTGGTAGCCTGTGTAGATGGTAAAGGACTGGCATTATATGTGCATATCTGCTGGTCCCTGTTAACATCCTGGCTGCTCTATTCTGAATCAGCTGAAGTATCTGGACTGTCTTCACGGGCAGCCCCATGTAAAGCACGTAAAGTAAATATACCTACAGTGCGAAAACTTTGATAATTCATAAATAGGATATTCCTTAATAACTATGACAAAAACAGTGTTATACTGTACCTCCAAAAGAGAGCCTAGATCAGAGTCTTGCACTTTTTGAAACAAAAGGTATTTCCAGGGGATTGTCCTGATGTATATATACAGGTGATGTGTTATTTTATGTTTTTACATTATATTTCAGTTTTGTGCTTTTCATATAACTTTAGGTCAATCTGGTTTCTGAACACATCTGGTGTGAAGATTTCCTTGTGAGAAGCTTTTACTTGAAAAACCTTCAAACCAATGAAACACGGACAGTGACACAATTCCATTTCCTTACTTGGCATGACCAGAAGGTTCCCGCATCCGCAAGGTCCCTTCTGGATTTTCGCAGGTACAACACAAAAAATTAATATTTAAAAGTAATCCCCAACATGAAAAGCAGTTATCAGTGCAAGATTCTGTTTCAGATAACTGAATTGTATGGTTATTGTATGGAGTTCCAACATGGGTGCCATCATAGATTGATTGCATAAAATGGAATCGGGAAAGTCGGGTATTATTATACGCTGCAAATATTTTTAATGCACTAACTTGGAATCTAAGCCAGTAATTGTATTGATGCATATGCTTCTTGTTTGCATTAAGTAGGTATATATGGTGATCATAGCAGGGATATTTCATGTACAGCGAAGTGTACACAATTAGGGGCATTGCTAGATTAGGGCCTCCAGATACAATGTATGCCCAGAGTCTTCCTGGCAAAGTTATGCCACTGTAAATCCAGCTTGCCCAACAGTGTCACTTTGCCCTGCTTTTGGGCCACCTAGCAGACTGAGCATTCACACATGCATTGCTCCCACTGAGACTTTGTGAAGGATCTCAACAAAGACAGCTAAAGATGGGGCCCTAATTATAGGCAAGGAAGTAAGAGAACAGTTTAAAATCTCTAATCACAAAATGCTTTTGTATTTACCATGAGTCGGGAGGCCACAAGCTGCAGGTGGACAGTGCTAGTTCATCCAACTCCTCCTCCTCAGATCCTCAGGATATAGCTAGCCGGGTGCCAAGTTCTTAGGAGGGCACAGATGCACCATGGACTTTGTCTTTCCAGGGTTGAAATGTAGCTCCCAAGCCCCAAATGTAAAGAAAACTTTTTTTGTCTCTTTTAGTGGCAGGTTGGTACCTCATAGCAACTCACCGTGTGTGGGTTGGCTTTGACAGGGGTATCCGTAGTTCTTTGACAGAGACATGCACTTGTGCCTGCATATGTCCCTGTCAAAAATACCTTGGATAGAAACCTTTGTGAAGACACCCTTTTTAAAAGGAACCAGAGTGATATCAGTCAGCATTCAAACATCCATGTTCCAGTAAAAAGGGATGAGAGGTGGCAAATACTTTTCCGCTTTCCTGGATGCTTAGAATCTTGGGAAAGGGTGCAAAAGTGCAAGGAGCGGGATCAGGGAAAGCATAGGTAATCTTGTTGTGAAGGTGAAGATCCTGTGACTACCCCCTTTTGTGAGCAAATATCACTTGCGACATTGGTTTCTCTTGATAGTTCACCTTTTGACAGCTGTCAAGAGAAATCAGTGTGAAAAAGCACTGCCTCCTCTCTTTGTCAGAGCCCATGGTGGCGACTGCTGCACTTTGACGGGAAACATCTCCCAGGATGTCTCAGGTTGCTCAAACAAGACGTTCTGGTTTGGACCTGCACAAGTGCACAGTCTGACTAAAGTAATAATAAAGTATGAAGAAATTTGCTTGCATTTTTTGCAATAAAGGCAGAAGTGAAGTACCAGTGATAGTCTCTCCAGTAAGCCACTCAAGCGCTTTGACAGGTCTGGCATGAGCTTAGAGATCATGATAGACAATTTTCTGGGGAGGGGGACCAAAAAGTGGGAGAAAAACGATGGAGAGCATAAAGGGTTTCATAATAACAGCAGTGGAACACCAAGCCAGTGATGGTTGCTCCACCGTGCTGCTTGGGCCGTGTGCAACTGGCATCATTGATGGCCTCACCTAGTTCAGCGAGAGTGTCAAGGATTTTTTGCTGCTTTTGTTGAGCAGCTAACTGGCCTATTTCTGCAACCCACAATGGAGCCTTGTTTTGATTACATGACAATCCCATCTTGGTTGCATGAAAACCAGCAACAAGCCATGGCTTGTTTGTGGCTTGTTGCCCACAAACTTGCCACCCTGTGGGATGCAGTCCAGGTTTGCCCAACACAACTCACTGTAGCTTGTCACCCACAATGGGTTGTTGTGCAATGCAATGATTTCATACCCTACTCACAAGCTGAGGTCATGCCATATAAAGAAAGTAAGTGGTGCTTCAGTAAATGATTTTTCTCTGCTTTATTAAATAGTAAAACTCTATCTAGGTCAGCCTTGTCCAACCTTCACCTTTCAGGTGTTTTGGATTTCAACCCCTATCAGCCCTAAGTCAGCATGGCTAATAATTAGGAATGCTGGAAGAACACAATATTGGGGAAGCCTGATGTAGGTAGTTTCTGGAACTCTATCCCAGAGATGGTGCATAGGCACTTCCCTCACACTAGGAATCACTTTTAAAACCTGCTAAGCTGTTCACTACTAAAGCTCATTGACAAACCCATACTGGTTCAGTGGAATGCTTAAATCACAGTAGCAATTCTTTTCACATTCTTACAAGTAATATATCATTAAAATATCTTATGGAACACTCTTATATCAAATTCACAGTGACAGTAACTGTTCTGTATTGCTTAAAATGGTCCCTTAGAAGATGAGTTTGCAGAATGAGTTCTTGGGTCCCATTTTCACTATTTTTTCACATTGATCTTAACACAACCTAATTACAATTAAGTTAGTCTGGATTTATTCCATATTCCTTGACCTGGTTTGCACAATCACTGGTTGTTAATAAGCTCCAGTGCTTATTAACCCGCTGCACATGCTGGTTGCATGTCATATAATTATCCTCAGCATTGTGGCATGTTGTGTCATGCAAACTGAGCTAAGGTGACTTGGTTGCTACACTCAGCAAGCCTTTCAGAAACCATGGGCTGTTCTGGGATGACTCGTTAACCACAGCAACATTATGCAAATCCCCCCTCCCCAGCTTTCATATCAGTTAAACTCATTTCTCCAGCTGCAATTATGTGAACTGGGCCATCAGATTGCTTCCATTTTTTCTATAGTACCAATATGATAGGTGCTGTCATCTGGTGCCATGTTTCGTTTACCCACTCTCCTAGCAAGGTTTGCTGCCCTCAGCTAAATGCTGTGGTTGCTGCCTATATGGAGAACACTAGCAATGGTCGATGGCAAGAATATTTTCTTGCTGCAGTAAGTAATGAGTAACCAAGTAATGCGTACCAAACCCTACTCCATGTGTAGTGAAATTCTCCAGGGAATGCCACAGCTCTAGTACTGTTCGAGTTTGAAAGGAGCAGATAGAATCCTACTGCATTTAGAAGAAATTAAAAATACACTCTACAAATAGTTCTGTGGATGTGTTTCTTGTCAGACAGCCAAATGCATTCATTCAGGTATGACTGGTTTATTTGGATTTGTTTGATTTTTCATTTACAACTATCCACAGGTATTAAAGGTTTGCTTTGTTTTGTTTTAACTATAGATCCATTGTGCATCTCTTTTAAAACTCCTGAGAAAGAATGGGGGTATCTTTTACCTACCCAAAGCTATTTTAAGAAATCTTAGTTTCTTGACATTCTGAACTGCCATTCCAGTTACTGAAATAATAAATTCCGAGCCACCTCGGTCATGATATTTAATGGCTCACACTTTCAGAAGATTAACATTTGTGATGAAGCCATGAGAATAAGCATGGAGACAGCTACAGATTCTTAAAGGGATATTACTAAGTGTGACACCTATCCTTTTTAGATGTCCATGTCATGATATACATCCAACATTATTATCTACAAATATATATTTATATATGTTTGTATATTAATAAACTCACACACACACACACACACACACACACACACACACACACACATATATATATATATATATATATATATGAAGCCACATATATACACAACCAACCCTCTGTTACTGCAACTCACTACCAAGATAAATTGGATTCCCCAAATTACCTTTGCCCCAGAGTCTATTGAAATAGGTATATTTTTCATTCTTGCTGAAGCAGTTTTTGTAAGATGCAGAAAACAAGCTTGTGCTTTTTTGTTCCTCTATATTAGACAGTGTTTCAGACAATAGCATGTTGAATAGGTGAATTAAACCTAGGAGAGTAAAAGCTCTTGATTACTAGAAATATTGTGCACTCAGGTATCAACTGATGAATGAAAGCAGACTTTACTGAACTCTTAAAATACCCATGTAAAATGCAGTGCTTGAAAGGTGAAGTTGCTGCTCCTCAAAACACTGGTCAGTTTTAATGGTTATAAAATCCTAATTTTATTTTGCACAATAGACCAAGCGTTTTAACTCTGGACTATCTTGTTAGTCATGCACTGATAATGTGTAATTAAATATTTCTTGGGCCCAGAGGGAGCACATTTGCACTTTAAAGAGACACTGCTAAGCTAAAAGATAATTAGCATCACATGTGAGGGCTTTGCTTAAAATATATATTATGCTATCACTGCTTGCTGTATGCAATGGCATTTACTAACACTGCTCACTTTAAAAATGGTCCAATTCTTATTTTGCCAGCTAATTAGCAGTTGCCAGTGTCATTTTTGTGATGTTGCAGCTAGTAATATAAGCCCAGTTGCATAGTCACAAAAGTGATCATTGGAAACTGTGACTCTGCTGCAGGGACAATATGGGAAACCCCTTTTCTGAGCCTCTAACGACCTCTGACCTTTGCTTGCTGATGGTTTTGCATGGTGATTTCTTTTTCACTCAATGAGCCAAGGGTTGGTTTGTATTACTAATCATTCTTTCCTAGTTAATTCTTCCTCTCTCTCTGTGTATGTATGTATTTTATTTAAATATGAAACGTTCAGAAACTTTACATGCATTTTTTCCTGTGTCTGAAAGGACGAAATTTTACATGAAATGACACTACTATGTATTTCTCAAGCTTTCGAAAATATTTATCAGTGAAGTTTGAAAAAAGTTATTTATTATGCTTTCTGAAAGATATGATTGTAAAGGCGTGTGAAAAGGAGTCTGTAGAAAATGGCAAACTAAGATAATTTGCCAATGTGGCTACCAATTGGTAAGGGATTTTTAATGGAATATATCAAAATACTGGGGGCACAAATATGGAAATAAATTACTAATACCCACTAGCTAGTTCTCCTAAGAAGAATTATTTCAGTCTTTACACACTGCTGCTTCCTTCTGTACAGTGTGAAGGGGAAATGAAGCTCCCCAAACACACAAGGTGCCAGGGAGATGCAACTGGCTGTTTGT